GTCAGTAACTTTAGTTCAGTTTTTACTTCAAAGGCACCCCTTTTGGAAGGAAAAATATCTAGACTATGTTCAGTAAAGAAGCAAACTTCTGGAACAACGTATCAGAATTTGACCGAACATTAACACATTATAAACTATGTATATCTAATAATTTAATAAATATAATTTCAGGCTCACTGGTCCACGACATAATGTACAGCAGCGAAAACAATGTACTGGTTGGTCTGCAAGACGGTAAAGTGATTGTTTGGTGCTGTCCAAGTATTGCATTCATCGAAAAGGATATTGCACCGTTAGCTGTAATCGAAAAAAGCGATTCGTAAGCTTAAGCGCACTGATACCCGCAGGTTTGTAATGAAACATTTGTTTGAACAGGAACATCGAGAAAACTCACCAAATTTTGGGCATAAACCGATGCCAAATCTGTGTTCGCAGAATCGACGGTTGCGTCTTATACTATAGCGTTGCAACGTTTCTTTGGTCGTTGTATGAATTTTGTTCAAAGGACCAATGGAGTAGCGCCGTGCGATTGTGTCGTTTGGCAAACGTAAGTGAACCAGCAAAATTACGCCATATTTAATAATGCAAAATTTAATTCAGCTCGATCACCTATGGGCAACTTTGGCCTGCCTATCTTTGCAAAGGAAAAACTTTTGCGTCGCAGAGACAGCCTATGCGGAGCTCAATCAGGTGAGTCGTTTGTAACTGCCCTGAGAGGCGTCATTAAGAATATTTCGTAGATAGTGAAATTGAAATTCATCAAGAGATGCCGTTCGATCACTGACGGCGTACAGCTGTCAGCGGAAGCAATGCTTTTGTCTGGAGACATCAACGGGGCAGAACAAATTTATCTGCATAACAAATTAATTCTTCAGGCGGTCATGCTAAATATAATTTACCAACAATGGGAACAGTAAGAGAAGCAATAACCGGTTGAGCGAGAATTGTTTATGATATTTGCAGTGCACTCGACCTTGCGATGAGATACGAAAAATATCAAGCCATTGTGATTGGCTTCAGGCAACAGTACTTGGAGGAAAACAACTGCAGCGAGAGTATTGCTAAGTTTTTGGAGATAAATGATGAGGTAAGAAATAACTTTTCGAAAACCACTTTGGCGAACGTCCATTCAGTTTGCGGTTAACTGGCCAAGCATAGAAGAAACGGTTAACTCTACTCTCGTCTGAAGATTTGGCACAGATTGATGCCCGGAGTTGCATGTTCTCGACTGCAGACAGGTTCTTCGAATAGTACTGTTTTACAGAATTTATTGCCCTTATTTATTTGATGCAGCATCTATGAAATAGATGAAATTTTCATCGAAAACATCCTTGGTATCAGTGTTGAATGATTAATGAATGATTCCGTGATTCCGGTAAGCAGGCACGTGATCGCCTGGTCAAAGTATTTCTGAAAATCATGTATTCAAATAAGCATCTTCAATAGGAAAAAATTTCAGGCCCAGCAGAAAACTGAAAATATGACAAGACAGTGGTCCAATCAAACATATTCGCACAATTCGACTTGAAACATTGACAGCAACAACATTCCTCTGACGTAAAATCTGACAGAGCAGGGATAATATGAGGTGATATTTCAATGTAGCAATTTTGCGCACATCGCTGCCGTTACCATCTTCCATTAAGGCGTTCGGAAACCGCTGAAGAACGTTCAGTGAAGCATAAAAAGCACTGCAAGCAGGTTGGTGCAAAGTATGCCGCTTAACCATGCCAATAAAGCCTTAGAACAGGGGCTCATTCCTAAACTTCCTTAAAGTTGATAGTAGCGCGAGCAGCAGAAAAATCAGCATTTGAACACACTACAAAATGAATTCACGCTGTATCGCGCTTCAGTCAATTCAGAAGGACCCGCGCATCACGTCCGACATCTGTAGTGAGGCGTAAAAAGTGCGCTTTGAAGGGAATTAGTAATAGTACCCACGGCAACAGTTGGTCGCAAAGCGAAATTTCAAGATATTTGTGCTTAATGTACTTCACACAATTCTGATGAAAATCTGGAACACAATCTGTGTGAGACAAACCACCAGGTAGAGCTGATCAGACATTTGTCAGAAAATATCAAAAAAATATGCAGGAATATTGGTTGTATGATTCCGTGGCAATGATTCCCAGCGGTTATATAAATGTCGGTCTATTCTACTCTGGCGGAAAACAAAAAATTGTCGTAACACCATTCACTGGCCAACGATAGAGGAGTCTATCGATAGAACATCATCTGATATGGTGTTTTCTGAGCTGTAACATCTCCATAACTTATTGCAGATTCTTTCATTGTCTACTTTAACTGACGACGCAGATGAATCAGAAGAAGAGTACTCCATGACTAGTTGACAATTAGACCTACATGAAGTTGTATAGCCAACTGATCCTTTTAATCTGCTCATGAAAGTAGCGAATTCTATGTTCTTCCTTTGCTACTCAAAATTTAAGGCATGAATGCGGAAGGCAGACTGAATCTTTAAATGATAAGTCAGAAACAAACCCCCAGCATATAGTTGTCAAACTTCCACCTCCTCTACTATGCCGGTTTACCTTCTACAGAACTCAAAATTATTTTCGGTTTTGTCATGTGGTTAACATGCATGCGAAGGAGCTTATCAACAATGCTCAGCATCGATGATCAGTAAAGCTCATTTACGAAAAGTTCTAGAAACAAAGGGATACTGCAATAGTGCTGTTGGTGTAAAGTGAACAATAGATTTTTCTTTCTTTACGCAGTGCATCTTCATTGCTTCAATCCGGTATCAGTATTTTTTATATGATACATTTGAACTGTGGCATCGAAAGCTTCCCCAAAACATCGGGTTATATTTTGTCATTCATTCGCCTACGGATCATGGAAATCTTCTTTGGTTGAATATACTTTTGTTCAGTCCAAGTTTGAGACGAGGTCCTGCCTGCTACACACTGCAGGCGCTTAAATGCCATGGAGACGCGGTCTGCTTTAATGGTCCCCTTGAGCGTCAAGAAACAAGGGAGCGATGCAAAAGAATTGCTGGTGTAAAGTGAGAAATAGCTTTTTCTTTACACTGTGCGTTTTCACTATTTCAATCCGATATAATTATTTCTAATGTGATATATTCAACGGCGGTGTTGAAAGTATCCTTAAAACATCGTGGTTATATTCTGTAACAATAAAGTGCTACTATCACTTTCCTGGTACAGCTTATAACAAAACAACACGGAAACATGTTGGCAAAACAGCCCAGCACGCGTAAGCCCTCTCACTGATTGCAGAACCCTCCCACAGCTTATAAAACAACAACAGTTGCAGAACCTGTTTATTGATGTAGCTATGGTACATGCTCTGTTGCTGATCAGGAGTGATGAGTAAATGAATGATGTTGATGAATTCCGCAATAATTACAATAATGTTGCCACTAGAAGACGCGAGAGTGGTTCGTGTAAAAGTTCGCGAACACACTGGTTAAATAAGAGGAAGCAATATTCTAAATAACCTGTGTTACGCAAGGAGTCAAACAATGAGGATGGGAAACAACAAAAACAAAAAGTTAAATGCCAAACTCGCGCACTACCTCTTACTTCTTGAAGGAGCAAAATGACTTAATTCACTCAAGGCGTTCATAAGTGAACCTCGGAGTCGTACTAATGATCAAAAATGGGTAGAAGGGATCGACCTACGAATCAGCATGGCCAGCGTCATTCTGGGTGAACCATCCCAAGTAGTTGCAACTAAGGCAAAACTGAGCCTGTATTCAAATCGATTTCCAATCCAATGGTCATCTACGATCGTTAGTCATGAGTCATAGCTGAAAAGTTGTGCTTCCGGGTACAAGCAGTTGATGTAGGTTGTCTGAAATGACTCATTGGATTCTCGAATGAAGACAGAGGTCAAATATTCGATAACGCCTTGATTACAGTCGCTGTTTCTCCAGGTTGAAAATCTACAGCCCGAGGGAGTATTGGCACGTTTTGCAAATGTTTCCAGAAAGGAAGGCGAAGCAGCTATTACTTGCTCAATCGATTAGTCACACAATTAGAGTTCGGTTAAAAATGACCAAAGGCAATAACCTCGAAGGACCTTGCCCCACCAATTGGGATTTTCTTTCGCCAAAGCTCATGCGCTGGTACAAGATCGGGAACATTGGAGACAGAAAAGGATAAGCGATCATGGAAACTGAGTGACTAACTACTTTCACTATATGGTCATCCGATGCAGCGTTCTGATCCGGTTCTGTAGCTTTGCATGACTCGCATGATGGTCAGACACGAAATATCAACAGAAAGCGTCGTTAGCATCGTTCTTCGCGATGTAAATATTAAAGCTGTGTTGTGAAGAACACCTTAGAGTGACAGATATCTTAGTAACTTAATAATAACAATACACGCCCCCACTCTGGACGTTTCTCCTCTGTTAATTTCGCGATACATAAATGAAATGCGATTGATGGTGCGCATATGCACGAAAATTTGACATGAAACTCCAGTAAGTTCTACGGGTTTATTCGTTCATGGAGTTTGTTTATATATTATTGTAAAAGCGTAACATTTTTTACATCATATACTGCATTAAGTTCATATATCGCCGTTATTAATTCTGCTAATTTCCTTGAGCAAGGAATTCATCCACGAAACAACAAGCTGTTTTGGTGTGATCAAGCTAAAGCGTGAGAGACACGCAGCTACGCAGTCGGATGCATGTGCCTTCGTTCGAAAATTTTCCTTGACCTACCTGATACCTGATTATAAATCAGCGCAAAATGTAAACGTAAATATAAATAACTATCCAAAGGGGTGCATTTCAAAAATCCAGCTCTGCATAAATCCAACCCTCAGATTATGTAGCTAAGGCTGTCAAAGACGAATATAACGAATAGGCGCAACGGAAGTATAATGAGCATCAAGCTGACCCATTAGCGTTCCGGTGTGCGTGAACATTACCGCGGCTTTTCATACATATGAGAGAACTGTTAACGAGGCAGCATACACCGGGCGGCGTATTTTCATGCCTCTAATGCAAATTTATTTTCATAGGGGGTATTGCCACTGAAACCTTTCAGAGAAGTAATAACATTCACAATCAGCACAATCACGGAGAGAAAGTGACCAGCATAAAGGTCAGTGTTATCACGGAATCCTTTATTCTGCGCACAGGCAGACTTTATGTGAATGATTAAACGTCGCATAAGGAAAATATGCCTGAGGTTAATTTGAACCCTTGGATTGAGTAGTACCTTTAGTAAGTCCAATTGTTGTAGCAAATGCTGTTATTTGTTCTCACAGTAGTTTAACCGTCGGTTAGTTTAGCTTTCAACGAATGCTTGTTTATATCATTTACAAGTGTGAATGGCATCATTAGTTAATAAACATGCCACTAACGTTGCCAGGAAAGTAAGATTAATTTTTTTATAAAAAATGAAGCACTGCACGAATAGCCAAGAAGTGAATTTCTCGTTCTTCGACAGCGGACGCGTTTTCACCATTTGATAGCTGCTTTCCAGAGCTGTCATCAGCTGTTAGCCAAACGATTTTCGGAGTTGCGCAGGTTTCTCTGCTGGGGCATTTAACTGCTTCGCTTCATCCGAAGGATTTCTGTCTGGAGCAAGCGACAAAATTGCAGTTGCCTGACAGACGTGACGGTGAACGAGTGCTGGCGACGTGCCGCCTGTGCCTATTTGCTGCCACCTCTGGCAAAAGATGAAAACCTAGTCGTGCGGGAGAGGACAGTGAACCGGGAACGGTCCAACAGACTGCGGCTTCTCATCAGTTTCAGGGCAGCCTTGATTTCGTGCACACGGTTTGCGTATATGATTGGATCAACGAGGGCTTTGAATATGATTAGCACATTGCCAATGAGGCCCATGAAAAATATCTGCTGCTGATTCAGCATTTTCAAGTGGTACAAACAGTCTTCGCAAAGTAGTACGAAAAACATAACACTTGGCAACCATCCAACGACAAACGTTCCTAAAATTGCGTCACTGAATTGCACCAGTTACACTTATGTCAGTTCTATCTAACGGTTCAGTAGTTGATACTGTACAATAAAATTATAACAGAAGGTTATTAAATACCACATTTAGTGAAAGGACTTTTCCTGCTGATGAGCGGCAAAATTGATTGCTAAAATTTATCAATATGTGGTTAAATTTGTTTCTTTTTCCTCAGGCAACAGCAGTTTCTATCAACGACCATCAGCTGGCCTTGGAGTATTCTCATGAAGACTGTGAAAGAGAGCTGTGTATTTCCGTTGCGTTCAGTGAACCCCTTCCCTGTGTTTACAATCGTTATTCGCTGATTAAAACAGCCAAGACCACGTAGAAAAATAGCAGTTTCTAATGAGTGCGGAAAATACATTTATCTACGTATATATCGAAGAAAGAGACAGCTGCAACTGTTCTGAGCCTAAAGAACATGGCAGGAAGTATCAAGACAGAAATGGCAGAATGTGTGGTGAACATGGATGTTCAATGATGAATCAAGAGTCAAATGTCTGGTGCTGCAGTGGCATATTATATACACTTGTAAAATACATTCTAACTGTAAAAGAAACGGTACCTTTTTACCTATAAAGAAGAACCATCGAGAACTGAAACAAACAATATCCTGCGACGAACAGCCTATGCTCCAAAGGGGCCATTAGGTCATTCCAAGCGTCACAAACCGGCACAAATTATTTTGATGGGTGGTTGTGGCAAAGCACCCGTTACTTGAGGTGGTGGGCCTAAGTGAAACAGGATCTATGTAGCATTAATATTATTAATATCAGTACCGCATAGAGCACTGAAATCTTGTAAACAAAAAGCGGGCAAATTTTATAGTTTACTTCTCTATAACTGAGAACGTTCATATGAATGTATAACTGAGAATGTTCAGATGAATGCGTAGCGTTAACAAAAAGAACCGCACTTGAAAATTTCTATATAGCGGTACGTTATGAGTAATTCAATGATAAAATCGGTGACTGAAAGCAGAATCGATTGGCTTGACTACCTGGAGCGACGACTGAAAGGCTAAGCACTAAGTATCGTCGGAAAACTGGTGAAACACTCTTGTAGAAGGCTAAACATAGGATAGATTGACACTGTAAAGAAAGTCACGAAAATATAACTATGGAGCTGAAGATTTTTGGACTTAGGCAGTCATACTGGACAATACCTCGTAAAAAAGCTCGAAGTTATGGACAAGAAAGGAGATGGGGTTGATGTCCAGCTGGCGAAATGAGGCGTTAAGCACGTTTTAACATTTTCTGGTGCAATCTGTCTTCCCCTAACCACCGTAGCGTTGCATTTATCTGCTTTCTTAATTATAATGTTACTGCTTATTATTAGAGATTTAATCGCTTTAAATTTTGTCATAGTCAAGTTAGGATTAAGCGGTTTATTTTGAGTTATCAGTAGCATAACGTCTTCCATTAAGGGTTTTATTACTTTCTAATTAAGTTTGCGGAGGACTTGAATTTCTGTTTGATACGGTTTCAAGCAGGGAAAAAGATTAATTAGTTGCACAGCCCTTATGTAAAACAGTAATTTGTTCTTCAGAGAGACTGACGTTACTTAAATTAATCACACTTTTATTGTTACCGCTAGCGAAGAGATGGTTAGTCCATTCAATATCAAAAGTACTAGTTTCCTTTAGATGAATTATTAAGATTTCTTATTTTTACCGCACCGTCTCGAATGAAGAAGCTGTATTGCTGGCTGTGGACATTTCGCAGAGTCGAAATTCATCGTTAAAATACTCAGCCCATCAACTGGAAGTAACTCATCTTACTCCTAAATTTCCCACAAGTTTTGTCAAGAACTGAAACGGGTTGAACCCTCTGATGGTACCATTATGGTCGGTTACGACGTTAAAGACTTGTTCACTGACATACGTACCGATTTTTATTTTCATCTTTCATAACCGATTCTCGTTCCGGTCCGCCGAGGTAGATGAGCCAGACAGACCCTCAAACATTCCTGATCCTGTGCCAGAGTCTGGGCTTCGGCAGAAGGCAACTGGAGTCTAGAGCAGACTCCTTCCATGTATTTGCACCAGGTTAATCTTGACCGTTCCCTGGGCCTTCTGTCGGTCGGATTCGCAAGAAACAGTTGCTTAGCCTTCCTTTCTGGAGGCATTCGCAACACATGCCCAAGCCGTCGCAGCTGTGACTTCT